GGTGTGTGTGTGTGTGTGTGTGTGTAAAATGACCCTTTAATCATAATAGAATTGTAAATGTGAACATTGGTCATTTATTATGGGGGTTGTAATGACCAAATGTGGTAAATATGTAATGACATGCGGTAGAGGGAGGAAAATATGCTACAGTCCTAAGATCGCCTCCCTTCACCACCCCCTCCCCAGCCTCAGTGGAGACTATGCTTGTCGTAAGATGCGATTATGCTCGTCGTAAAAGGCGACTAACGTACGGGACCGGGTGGGTGAGTGGGTGTGTGGGTGAACGTACGGGACCGGGTGGGTGAGTGGGTGGGTGAGTGGGTGGGTGAGTGGGTGAGTGAGTGAGTGAGTGAGTGAGTGAGTGGGTGGGTGGGTGAGTGAGTGAGTGAGTGAGTGAGTGAGTGAGTGAGTGAGTGAGTGAGTGAGTGAGTGAGTGAGTGCGTGCGTGCGTGCGTGCGTGCGTGCGTGCGTACGTGAGTGAGTGAGTATGGTTTGACGCCGCTTTTAGCAATATTCCAGCAATATCACGGCGGGGCACACCAGAAATGGGCTTCAAACATTGTACCCATGTCGGGAATCGAACCCGGGTCTTCGGCGTGACGAGCGAACTCTTTAACCACTAGGCTACCCGACCGCCCCTCGATGGTCAGACTCGCTGACTTGGTTGATGCTTGTCATCGATGCCATTTGCGTGGATCGATGCTCTTGGTGTAAATTACTGGACTGTCTGGTCCAGACTCGAACATTGCCAAGGGCGGCGTTAAGCAACAAATAAACAAACAAACCTTGGTGGAGAGGAACCTTGGGTACTTTTCTGAATGTCAAGTCCTAGCAGGTAAACATATCATGTTTCTTGTTGGGCCACTTTCAGGGATGATGACAGGACACGATCATCGCAGAGCGAAGGCCTTTGTTGTGGTTGCCTCACGTGGACGCGCAATGGCGTGACTGAGTTCACATCGAGGATGTGCAAGGGGAGCACTTTGTAGGCAAGTCAGGAAAGTCACAAGAATCATTGTCAATCGTCACTAATCTTAACAATTTGTCTCGCCTGGGCCTCATTACGGCGATCTGAAGCAATTAGGTGAGTACATTGGTTTAGGGAGAAATTAAGGTTAGATGTCTGTCTTGGTTAATCGACCGTCTCTGTGGTCTAGTGGATAAAGCGTCCGCCAGGAGAGCGGTAGGTCCGGGGTTCGATCCCCGGCCCCGTCATACCAAAATACGTCAACAGATGGTACTTGTTGTTACCCTGCCTGGCGCTCGGCATTAAGGGGTTGAAACAAGGAGAAGTCGGCTCGGAGCCAGTATACTGTGTCTGAGTGTGGTATTCTAAACATCTCAGTGGGCTCGCGCATTAAAACCGGCATTAGTCCGGAGTAGTAAAAGTGGACACGTGCGCACGCACACAAACAACAGATTCATGTTTGTCGATACATGCCCATGCCCGTGCTCGTGGGTTTCACCGAAGTGGTAAACGTCTTAGACCTGCATCACTTCGGGCTTTCCTCCCACATTAAACTGACACGCCGCGATATAACTGGAATACAGTTAAAAGCGGCGTTAAACCCAACTCACTCACTCACTCAAGTACCACTGAATTACGAAAGATGACACTGTCGGTGTAAATTTATCGTACAATATAAACCGGATTCATCGCTTACATGTGTGTGGCATGTACTTATCAATCGACGCTGTCACCACGCCAGGTAGGAAAAGCAGAACCGTACACGTCTGTAAGCTATACAGTGATTTACCCCAACAACTGAACAATTCAAAGATGGCGACCGCAACGTTGCTGTGCAACCACGAGGCTTACATGAAACTGATCCTAAGAGATGATGGCGGCGAAGCTGTTGTTGATTATTGATGTTCAAGAAATATTTACTTTAATCACAAATAGCTCGGTTGAACTGTAAACCGGTCAGTGATTTGGCACAAATTATTTCGCCCCCGTATTTCGACTCATTTTTGTGTCTCTCGAAGCATCTACGGAACGAAGGAAAATAGTATCCATTATTGCTCCAAACCATGGTTCTAAGTGGATGAGTGAGTGAGTTTGGTTTAATGCCGCTTTTGAATTATAGTATTCCAGTTATATTACTACGTGTCTGCTTAATCTCAGGCTCGCTGACTTTGTTGATGCATGTCACCGTATCTCAATTGTGTGGATCGCCACACTCAGCAATATTCAAGCTACATGACGGCGGTCGGTAAATAATCGAGTCTGGACCAGACAATCCAGTAATTGACATCATGAGCATCTATCCACACAACTGGGATACGATGACATGCCTCAACCATGTCAGGGAGCCTGACGACCCGATCCCGTTAGTCGCCTCTTACGACAAGTATAGTCGCCTTTTAAGGTGTGGTGACATGGGCTGGTCATAACAATCAACTTTCCATTTATTGAGATTTTAGATTCTGGAGAAAACTGTAAATCAATCCAGACTGGTCAGAACTGAGATTTGGACATAATTATACTTATTATAATTATGTTTGATGAACATCCATATTTCAGTTGTGTACTAAATTTCCAACAGCCAATTTGATTTGGTTTGTTTGGTTGGTTTGTTGTTTAACGCCGCACTCAGCAATATTCCAGCTATATGACGGCGGTCTGTAAAAAATCGAGTCTGGACCAGACAATCCAGTGATTGATATCATGAGCATCGATCCACGCAATTGGGATCGATGACATGCATCGACCAAGCCAGCGAGCCTGACCACCCGATCCCGTTAGTCGCCTTTTACGACAAGCATAGTCACCTTTTACGGCAAGCATGGGTTGCTGAAAACCTATTCTAACCCGGAATATTCACGGGTCAGCCAATTTGAACATCAATATGGAGAAGTTGTCAACCGACAGTTGCCATGACGGGGGACAACTTAACGGAAATATACTGAGAACATACACGCTTTTCAAATACGGACTTAATGTCGAATCATATGTTCACTTCATCTTAAACCGAGGCTGGACCGTTTCTCGCGCCAAAGGGACGCAACTCTCCATAGTGAAATCTGGATGTCAAAGGCTATACAATAGAATAGGTGGATATGCTTGTAGGGCACACAGGTAGTTCAGTCGTATAAGGGCCACAAATCGTTGTGCAGAGTTGCGTCCCTTGGGCACGCCAGAAACCTATGATTGTGGGCTCGAATCCCGGTTCGCCCCGATTATGTTTCTAGGTTTGTCAACACCATACAGCTACAGATAGGCCGTCAATTGTTTGTGTTTTTGAGAAATTTTTTCCGGAATTGTTTGTGAGAATATTCCGGAAATACACAACTTAACAACCCTGTTGACAAAATGGACTGGTCTGACTTGTCGGACTGTATACGGGGAGTTTATTTTATAAAAATGGGTAAATATTTTTTCAAACTTGTGAACTTTATCACCATCCGTAAAACCTGCCTCACACCCAACACACGCACAATAAGCTCACATGTCTCCACTACGTATTGATCACACATATCTCAACTATGTGAAATTGTGAGTTGGCACTACTTTCTTTCACACATCCTTTGCGGCCAATGACCATATCGCATAATTATTCGTATAGCGCTAACGGTATGACTACACGCATCGGTCATGAAGCAGGTGCCTTTAGGATTTCCACAAGGTCTTCAGACAATAGCTAATGAGGGACGAGAGCGCTATTAAGGTGGCACATCCTGCTTACAATCCGAAACATCGCAACAGCGGATGTTAGTTGTTACAATGCTGGCAACGGATAATACGTTTGTTAAACACTAATAAACTGTGAACATTTCTTCTATGGAAGTACATTTGTACTTGCAATTCCATATCTGCGTGCGTAACACATGTTAGTGTCTGCTACTTCAGACGTTGACCCAAATTAATCGATTAATATTGCTACCAGTAGCGTCTATTCCCCAAAAGTATATCGCGATTAATCACAAAGAACATTGAAGAACAATGCGTGGTTTGTTTAACAATCAAACATTGTTCTATCATGACGTGGAACATGGAGATTCGACAAAGGCTCGGGACTCGATGACGTCGTAGATTGGGCGTTCTTTGTTTTAGGGTAGTGAGTCGATCCCCTTAGATTAACTGGGAAACGTTGACATATATACGCTACGGCCGAACGTTCGTATCCAAAAATGGGCGAGAAAGAGCAATCTGTGATGGTAAAAAAGGTACAGATAGGCTGTCAATTGTTTGTGTTTGTGAGAATATTCCGGAAATACAAAATTTAACACCCCTGTCCACAAAATGGACCTGTCAGACTTTTCTGACTGTATACGGGGAATTCATTGTATAAAAGCTTCAAACTTGTATATTATTACCATCCGTAAAGCGGCTGTAAATAATATTGATAACTCATATAAGAAGAAAATCGCCTTGTTGTTTATCGTACATCGAACAATACTTTCGTCATATCACAGATACCAGCTGAATGTATTAAAAAAGAACTTGTGACCAGGTTGAAGATCCATTTAAGAAGGGGCCCTCAGCGACCCAAGCTTCTCGTAAGAGGCGACTAACGGGGTGGGGTTAACTTAATTGATTCCGTTTGCGCAGATGGATGATCATGCATGATGTCAATCACTAAATTGTCTGATCCAGACTCTATTATTCACAGACTGGCGTTAAATACCTGGAATATTGCTGATTGAGGCGCTAACAAAAAGCAAACAAATATCTAAAATAATTTGTTCTCAGTTAAGTTCATAAAAATATATGTCGAATTGAGTTGAAGAGTTCAACCAGTTCAGCGCAGGTGTTCCATTTCTCACAGTCTTATACCCGCTGAAGACATCCAACCCCGATATAACGGTCAGGTCTAACCGTATCTGTATTCGACCGTTGAGGCGAATCATCTCAACACCACTTGTAAAGGAAGCACCAATCAATACACGTACGTTGATCACGTATCAGCCCCATTGTTATCAGACAGAATTGTATACGTCCATTCCGTCCCCATATGTTGCCTGGCCAAAACACAAGTACAAGAAGTGACGTCACGATGTCGTCTGCCATGCATTGGAAGGCACGCGACGTATAAAAAGGCGGGAAATCGTTTAACGAGGACCACCTCCCCAGCGCGAGCGCGGAACGAGACACTATCGCTGGCCGATAGAGTAAGCGAGAGCAAATCCCGGAACTACTGGACGATTCAGTGTCTGTTGTTGGCGTCGGAGAACACTACGAAGAAGAGGGCTTCCGCGGACCGGGCATCAGAAAGTATAGGACAAGAGGACACGAGGACAAGAGGACAGGACAATATCAGCGGCAAAGAAGAACGTCTCCATACCTTTTCAGTGACTTTACCATACCCGTGTCGACATCATCATCATCATCATCATCACCATGAGAGCGACCCTTTCCCTTCTTGTTACTATATGTGTGCAACTTCCTGCTGCGCTAACAATACCCGTGAAGGTGAGTGAAATTTGCATTCGCAATCTTGTTATTAGTCATATGTTACCATGAAATGTTTCCGTTTAAATTGTTTCCTAGCTTGTAGAACTCGCGAAGAAGATGAAATTTTATTCATTTTCAGTTCTTGTTTGACGCATTCCATCTTTAATTATCGTAACTCTTTTTACGTAACTGTTTTTACGTCTAAATCTTGATATATGATAATGTTCTTACCTTTTTGAGGAAAGATTGCACAGAACGAACAGAACAGTTCTCAGAGATAATAAGAGAATAGCTTTTGTACAAAACGGACATTACCCGAATTCATGCTCGTGGCATCGTCAGTGATGTTCAATTACTTAAGAGTATGAAATATATAGATATACACCTATATCTTTGACTTTCACCAGATTACTTTTTCGAAGTAATCGATATTGCATGAACAATTTTTATAAACTTAATATACGGTTACCCCTCGAATATATATATATATATATATATATATATATATATATATATATATATAATAAAATAATAAAGTCCACGTTAGTCCATCATCTTCTTTATATCAGTTTCATACATAGTACTTTCGCTGTCTCATGACAGCTCTTCAGTCATGAAGTTCACTGAAGAGCTGTCATGAGACAGCGAAAGTACTATGTATGAAACTGATATAAAGAAGATGATGGACTAACGTGGACTTTATTATTTCATTATATATTACATGTACACCGAGTGAACATTTACCTCATTTTTGTATATATATATATATATATATATATGTATGTATGTATGTATGTATGTATGTATGTATGTATGTATGTATGTATGTATGTTAATTATATAATATATATATATACTCTTGAAAATCACATTCGTGAAACCGGTTGAGTAAAGTGTACAGGTTATTTTTGGACTTTTGTATTTTATCTATCTATAAAATATATATAATTATTATAATGTGTGTGTAATCTACAGGTCTGCTCTGTTAAAAGTTAAATGTATGTCCGACAGTTTCATGATAAAAGGCATTGCGGCAGATTGGGACAACTACCCGGTTTAATTGACCGTTCGTCATTAGTGTCTAACCCTGGGATATATCGCGACATGCCGCTGTCACTTAACAACGCGGCATCACGACAACGAACATGTGTGTGGAACTTCGCCAAAGTCGCTCACAGAAAGCGTCACTACAGCTTATGTAGAGTTGATTGTGTGGAAGATTGAGTGACGGCAGGGGTCGCACACCTTTGTTCGGACAACTTACGTGTTAGATAACGTCAGTCTTGTGTGTGTGCCCAATTGGCTTGTAAATGCAAGCAAGGAAACCGTGACATTAAATGACATTAAATGTCGCACTCATTACTTCTAAAAACGAACTCTTCTCTGTACATGATTTTCCGCTGCAATGTCCGTTCTACTGACGTAAAAGTTGGTCTTTAGAATGGAGCTATTTCTAAACCATTGATTTATTATTTTATTAAAAGGTTATGATTCTTGTTGAGTGAAATGTTATGCCGAGGGTGCCATGAGGAAAATATATATATGAAGGGTTGAGTCGGTATTCAATATCACATGAACAGTTTAATCATTGTAGGTTATTCCATTAAGTAAAAGTTTAACTGGCTTCACGCATCATTCTCAGGCCAAAAGTACCTATCGTTGTGGATTGTGGGTGGACATATTGATTTCTACTTGCTTAAGTCACTCATCTTATAGGGGCGGTCGGGTAGCCTAGTGGTTAAAGCGTTCGCTCGTCATGCCGAACACCCGGGTTCGATTCCCGACATGGGTACAATGTGTGAAGCCCATTTCTGGTGTCCCCCGCCGTGATATTGCTGGAATATTGCAAAAAGCGGCGTAAAACCATACTCACTCACTCACTCACTCATCTTATCATATATAAAATTCTTTACATGGAATATATACGCTGTCAAAGCCTTCGGTAGATTACTTTTTATAGAAGACATTAATTCATTAAACTTAAATATATCTGGAAATTGATACGATGATGGATGTAGGTATGCAATTCGTGTTTTTTTTATAAAATGGACGAAAAAGAACATGATACTCATCTCCTATTAGCTGTCAATTACACATTCTACATAATCTAATTTCCTTTGGGATTCTTGAATATATTCCCGTTTCAATGTTTATTTCATGTGATGAGCATCTGAATCTAGAAAATGAAATTCTATATTTTTACAAGAATGTTGCAAAAGATATTCTGCAGTTATGAAATGTGTTATAAACGTGTAAACTAAAGTACTGGCATTTTGACGATAAAGAAACAATACCACTTTTGTATGTACGCATCAATGAGCCTTTGCGTATACAATTTAACAAAATGTTCAAGACAGTCTACATTTTGACTTTACCAAGCCTAGCCTAAGCCTAAATCATTAGCAAGCTTTTTATCTGACGAAACCTAGTTTTTTGCTTTCCGTTTTTGTCATACGATACCATCATTTCAGAACACTTTCTTGGGTATCTATCATTTAGCATCCATAATAACCTTAACCGATACTTTATGACTTTAGTTTATGACTTTACGCATCATTTGCGACCATATGTTGACACGTCAATTATCTCCGAGTCTGTATCGCCATCAATACGCACAAGACTTGAGCCCTATAGCTATGACGTCAAAGTTGCAATCAGAGTTAGCACCCTATTATTTCCCCCATTGATTGTATGCAGTGTGTGAATTGTGCCGACACTAATGTTTTTGATTGGTGCTGCCTCCCTGCATGACCCCGAGATAAAGTAAATAATCGTATATGTTCTGACACACACCCGGCGTTATAGTCCTTGTGATCGGGGCAAGAGCAGACGTGGTATAAATGATTACATTATTTGTCACATAAGCCATTGCAGAAAGACATCTCGAAGGCGCCTTGTAATTTGTATTTAGATTTGATTTAATTCATTTATATTTTTAGGGGGCGGGGTAGTTTAATAGTGGACTGGGATTTTTCTGGACATGGCCGTCATTAGAGCAAAAATAATTCTATAAGCATATCATTTGACCATTGGGACATATAGTAAACTACGGTTATAACGAACTCAAAGGGACTACTAATTTTAGTTCGTTATAACCGTAGTTCGTTATAAGTACATATACAGCATAATTACAGCAAGTAGTCGGGACCAAAACGTAAGTTCGTTATATCCGTCAGTTCGTTATAAGCGTGTTCGTTATAACCGTAGTTTACTGTACTATCTTTCACACCATAGTGTATCGCTACAAAGGCTACGTCGAGGCGTGATGAAGATGGTTTCAGTTGGTGCAGCAGGTACGACAACGGCACATTTCGTTTACATCAGGGCTTTTTATATAATTAAAAACTGGTCTGCAACTGAAAAAACGCTATAGAAATTGGTATCTGAATACGAATAAGCGATGTCTAATTTGCATGTAATTGTGTTGTTAAGCTTTTTCATATACAGGAATCGCAGAACACAAACACTCCTGAAGATTCCTTTACACACGCACGGGGCTAATGCTGTAGAGTTGATGACCGCCAAACACGCACGCATGAAATCTCTTATTGTTAAATCTATGAACAAAGACACACAAAATTAAAAAAAGTAGGTGAAATATTTTGACGAATCCACACACGAGTTTGATGTAACGCCCCTTTAAAATTGAATGCTCCAATCTTTGACGTTTACCGCTTTGGTGAAACCAACAAGAACGGTATGGTGCTAACCAAGAATGATAATCTGAGCGGATCCTGTCACGGTTACGGTATATAACTCTACAGAACGAAATACGAAGTCTTAAACTTGCCAAGGCGATGCCCCGTTTGCGACATGCTTGCCGTAAAAGGCGACTATGCCTGTCGTAAGAGACGACTAACGGGATCGGGTGGTCAGGCTCGCTGACTTGGTTGATGCATTTCATCGTATCCCAGTTGCGTGGATCGATGTTCAAGATGTCAAACACTAGATTGCCTGGTCCAGACTAGATTATTTATAGACCGCCGTCATATAGTTGAAATTTTGCTGAGTGCGGCGTTAAACAACTAACAAACAAACAAACTTGACTAACTCGGCAATGTGTTGCGTTGTCTCAGTGGCGGTCAAGCGCACAAGATTCGTGTGGGAGTCTGACAGTCAATTTGTCATTGTCAATTCCTGGAAATAGATTTTAAGAACGATGATTGCCTTACGTAGAAAGGTCTCTTATTTCAAAGTAGATATGGTAACGAATCCACTGAGTTATTTGCCTGATTATAATATAAGGTCCAATGACATTGTCAATTATTATTGACCATCCATAAGGGCAATATCAGTTACTTTTGTCCATATAACATGATATGGCCCGAATTGTGGTCAATAATTGTTTTATCATATAATGTAAAAAATGAGTTGAGAATTGCCTCTTGTTCTTTTTGCAAATGACGTCGAGATGCGCACTCATATTCCTTGGAGATGCTCGCTGATTGGTTGAAACATTCGCTCCTTTGCGTCTATTGGTTTATTCACGCAAGGAGGACACCTTTGATCGCTTCACGACAGCGGTGGACTTATTGCAGGCCATGTGACCCTTTCTCAGCCACCGATTAATACAGAAAATACACATTTAATTTGTAAATGTTATAATGCGCTTATTTCCGGACCACACTGATGCATGCTCAAACCGCTAAATGGTCACTGGATCAGTATACTAACCCGGAGACGTCATATCAAAAGATGGTACTTGTTGTTACCCTGCCTTGCGCTCGGAGTAATGATTGTTGTTTAACGCCGCACTCAGCAATATTCCAGCTATATGACGGCGTGACAGAAGAACCCGATGTGATGTAGGTCTTTTTTTAACTCTCAAGCACTGTGTTCACAAAATCCACGATCACTCTGCCATATTTAATATAAATTGTCACTGCAAGAGAATATCAAGCCTAGATTTTCAGCCGAAACAGATTCCTCTGCGAACAGGGCAAATAGTTGTGTGTATTATATGAATAGACCACTGAAAATCAGTGATGACACCATGTGTTCGCAAAAAGGGTTAGCAT